GCCTTCCAGTGCTCAGCACTCGGATTGCTCGTATACCTACTTAGTTTGCTAATGGCGCAAGCTAAGTCTGGCCGTGTACAGCTCATTAGATACATCAAACTTCCGATGACTCTAGCGTATTCTGTCTGAGAATCGCTACTCCCTCGGTGTTTACCAAGGTGCACATTTACGTCTATCGGCGTCTTAGCTATCTTTGTATCATCCTTGTTGAATTTCTCAAGGATCTTGTCAATGTAGTGGGATTGGCTCAAGCTCAGACCATCCGGTCTTCTTAGTATTTTGATTCCAAGAATCACATCAGCCAGACCCAAATCTTTCATATCGAATCGTGCATTCAACATGTCCTTGGTGGACTTGACCATCCTATCGTTGCTTCCAACGATGAGTATGTATTCTTCGTACAGACATAAAATGACGTACCCTTCAGATGTGTCTTTAAAGTATACGCACTTATCCGACTCATTTATTTTAAAACCGTTACTCATCATTACCTCGTCAAACTTATCATGCCATACTTTTGGCGCTTGTTTTAGACCGTATAATGATTTTACAAGTTTGCAGACCTTCTTTTCTTGGCCCGGAACCTTAAACCCTTCGGGTTGTTCCATATTGATCTCTTCATCTAGTTCGCCATTTAGAAAAGCTGTCTTCACATCCATTTGGTAGACATCCAAGTTTCGTAAGGATGCAAATGCGATGATCATTCTGATAGAATCTATCCTAGTCACAGGCGCGTAAGTATCAAAGTAGTCATAGCCCTCGCGTTGGCTATACCCCTTGATCACAAGTCTAGCTTTGTACTTGTCAATGGAGCCGTCAGGCTTCATTTTCCTCCGAAAGACCCATTTGGAACCTAGTGGCTTACACCCTGGAGGGAGATCAACCAGTTCCCACGTGTGATTCTGAAGGATAGAATCAACTTCGCTCTTTATGGCCTCTTGCCACTGAGGTCCCTCAGTTGAGGTTACGGCCTCGTGATAGGTTCGTGGTTCTTTTTCTACCAAACAGGTTAGAATATCGGGTTCATTTTCCATTAGAAATGACAAAGTTCCTTTGTCAAATTCTATCAGATATGTTATGAAGTCAAAACCGAACGTCTTTTCAGTTCGCATTCTTTTACTTCGTCTCAGTTCAGTCTCATGTTCGACTTCTTCATCATCGTCATCGGAATTCAACTGATTTGGATCATCATTATCCATCATCTCAGCATGAGAACGTTTGGACGAACTGGCTTCGTCACTTGACTTGCATGGAAAGATATGCTCGAAAAACGTTGCATTCCGTTACTCGATGATTGTGTTCTTGTGAATTTCAAGATTATCTGATTTGTACACCAAGAACCGGTATGACGTACTATTGTACCCGATGAAGATTCCATCAACTGTTTTTGGACCGATCTTCATCTTCTTTGGTGGTGGTGCAAGTACTTTCGCGAGACACCCCCACACTTTAAGATACTTATAGGAAGGTTTCCTATTATGCCAAAGTTCATACGGAGTTTTGTCAAGTTTCTTACGAGGTATTTTATTTAGTAAATAATTACTTGATAAAACAACTTCCCCCCACATGTTCTGAGGTAATCCAGAACTAAGTAGCATCGCATTCATCATGTCTTTTAGAGTGCGATTCTTGCGCTCCGCTACTCCGTTAGACTGTGGTGTATACGGTGGGGTTACTTGATGCACAATTCCATGGTGTGCACAAAACTCATTAAGTGGAGCATCATACTTACCACCTCTATCGCTTCTCAATGCTTTTATCTTGCGATTAAGTTGATTTTCCACTTCGTTCTTATAACGAACGAAAGTGTCTAACGCTTCATCTTTACTTTTTAGTAAATAGATATAGCAATATTTCGTGCTATCATCGACGAAGGTAATAAAGTACTTATTACCTCCCCTTGAAGGCATTGTTCGAAAATCACACAAGTCGGTGTGAACCAACTCTAGAGGTTGAGTATTTCGTTCGATCGTTTGAAACGAACTTCGAGTTGACTTTGCCTCAACACAAGTTTCACACTTGCGAGTTAAGTCAATACTAAACTTAGGTATGTGTTCCATGTTAATTAATTTCCAGAGAGATGCATAATTAACATGTCCTAGTCTACCATGCCATAAACTAGAAGACTCACACACATAAGCAACAGGATTTTTATTGATCTTTTCATGAACAGTCATTACATTAAGCTTTACAAGCCCATCAGAAATATAACCTTTCCCAATAAAAATCCCTTTCTTGGACAAAATTAGCTTGTCTGATTCAAACACCATCCGGAAGCCGTGTTTGATCAACAATGACCCCGACACTAAATTCTTGCGAATATCAGGCACATAGAGCACATCGTTAAGCGTTAGCTCCTTTCCTGAGGTCATTTTGAGCTTAATCTTGCCCACCCCTTGTACCTCTGATTGGGCCGAGTTGCCCATCCAGACCTTGTCACCGGAGGTCTCCTGGTAGTCGTGAAACATGCTCCTGTTTGAGCAAATGTGGCGTGTGGCCCCTGTGTCCACAAACCATTCCTTCGGGTTTGACCCGACGAGATTTACTTCGGTGACAACCGCGCAGAGGTCCAAATTATCAAGCTCCGCACACATGGCTTCAATGGTTTTCTTCTTTCCCTTTTGTGGCTTCTTTTTCCTACAATCGGAGGAACGATGCCCAGTAATGCCACAATTATAGCACTTTCCTGCAAATTTAGAAACACCACCCTTAGGACCCATTTTCATCTTGTCCTTCCCGCCATGCGAAGAGCCCGACGGATGTTCTACAACATTCGCCTTAGCCCCTCCATTTCTTCTTGCAAGCCCTTCCTCTCGGATCCTCAACCGCGTGAGCAGTTGCTCCAGATTCAGCTCCGTTCTTTTGAGCTTGAGGTCGGCTTGGAAATCTTCCCACGACCGGGGAAGTTTGTGGATAATGGCCGCCACTTGGAAGGCCTCGCTGACGCCTACTTTTTCTTCATTGCATTTATTGAAGATAACCGTAAGCTCCTCAGCCTGGGCGACAACAGATTTGCTATCGACCATCTTGTAGTCCAACATCTTTCCGACGATGAACTTCTTCGTGCCGGCATCTTCAGCTTGATACCTTTTGTTCAAGCTATTCCAAAGCTCCTTGGCGAGCGTTGCACCGGCGTAGACGGGGTAGAGCGAATCTCCCAACCCCTCGAGGATAATGTTGATGGCGAGATAGTTGTTGTGGTACCATGCTTGGTTAACCATCGCCACGAGGGGGTCGTTGGCTTCATTGGGCTGGGGGGGATCTTGCTGCAGGTACTCGGCAAATCCCAAGACGGTCATAAAGAACATTATCTTTTGTTGCCACATTTTGAAGTTCGTCCCATTGAACTTCGATGGCCTTTGAACCGAACTAGCGGGCACTGTAATCGGCCCAACTGCATTGGGCGTGTGGAGGAATGGCCCGTTAGTCGCCCAATGGGGTCCAACGAAAGGATTGACCAGTGTGGGGAAACCCGCGTTCGGTCCTACGTTGACCGGTGTGGGAAAACCCGTGTTCGGTCCAAGGTTGACCGTCGAGGCCGAAGCCATAGTCGGTCCGAGAAACGGGTTTGAATTGCCGACGGGGTAATCCCCCGTGGTTTCTAGCCCAGGGATGGGTCGAGGGGCCGACCCGAAAATCGAGCTCGGCATCGAGAAGGAGGTCATGGTGGCAGCCCCCACACTCGACCCGAAGGGCAGCGGTGAGGAAGGCACAACCATGGCGACCGAGGTGGTTTCGACCGGAACTTCGGAACTCATTCCGTTGCCGGAGGAACCCGCGATGCCGAATCCGAATTCCATAATACTACCTTAAGATTGTTGAGTATTACAGCGGGAAAAATAAAAATAAAATAATCCGAACTTATAAAACGTTCGGATTTTACAAGAAAAATAAAAGAAAAAATAAACTTGGAGTCTTCGGGTGCTCGAACGGATGCAGGAACACGAATAGCCGGGCGCTTGAACGGCTAACAGAGACGTCGGATGAGGAGAGGAAGAACGCCGGAGGTGTTTGTGAAAAAAGGTAAGGAAAGCGGAGTCGCCGGAGCTTTCCTTAAGGTAGTATTGCCCGCCTCCCGCACAGGCAAACGTGAGCAATCTCCTCCCAGGATAAAACCGCTTCGTGCAAGGCCTAGGGCGGTAGCACCGTGCACCGACGAACGAGAACGACGGGGAGTTATCGCCGGAGAAAGTGATCGGAAATGGGAGATTGTCGGAGAGTTTATATAACGCAGAGAGAGATTTTTGAGTGTTTTTTCTGCGGCCAAGCCCTCCTTATATAGGAGAGGATTTGGACTCTTCACTGGACCGTCGTATATTACGAAGAGTCGGTGACTCTTCAACAATTATGCATGCATGCTTAATTCCGTACACTTCGTTATTAACGAAGTGTACACGCGCGTTTCGTTTTGGTCTCGTAAAAATTTAGCCACGCCGCAGACGCGCCCGCCCCGCCCCGACGCGCGCCGAGCCGGACGGCGGCGGCGGCGGGCGCGCGAGGAGTTCTCTTCTTGTTCCTTTCATAAGCTCAATTCAATGCCTAAGCTTATATATGAGAATACGAAAGGTTTAGAAACCGGTGTGGGACAAAGGCATTTACTCTACCTTAGCATTCAACTTTGAGAATTAATTTCTCATTCACCCGAGCACCGTTTATGGCGTGTAATATGTCAAGACGTTCGTCTTACTTACGAGATTAGTCGTCCATAATTATTTTGGAAAAATAATTTTGTGTACCCAACCGAATTTATGTCCGAAAATGTCCAATTTACTTTAAAATTTCCAACACTAATATTTATGTCTGTCTATATTTATCTGGTGTATAAATGAGATACTCCATTTTGGTCTATCCCTAACATACTTTAAATAAATTGAAAAAAAGCTAGACATGGGAGGGAGAGTCTCCAATGAGTTTTCTTCTCTTCATTTGGACGGTTGAAATACAAAAAAAAAAAAGAAAAAAAATAAAAAAGAAAAAGGAAAAAATCCACATAGGCGTTTGAAGGGACAAAACCATAGGAGCTGCTCGAATAAGAAATAAAAATGTTCATTCGCAGTTCATACGTCCAATCCCTTTCTCTCTCTCTCCCTCTCTATCTCTATTCCTTCTGCGGAATCACTGTACCTCTGATTCATCTTCATCATCATCATCATCGCTCTGTTCATATGGCTGCTCCGCATTAATTAACAATTGAATTCATCAATCCAACATTTATCATCTTCGAGCTTCTCTTTCTAAACCAACGGACGAAGCTCTTCTCCGAATTCCCGATTCCCTTTTAATTCGGTCACAATCTCTCTGTAAATAGTTAATTCTGTTGCGGAATTCGCGGAAAAGCGATGTTGGATCTCAATCTGAGAGTACTAGTCAACGGCGGGAGTCCTCCGGAGGGCTCCGGGCCCGACGAATCCGGCACCTCCAACTCCAGCTTTGCCGGCGACGACGAGACCTGCTCCACACGCTCCAGGGAAGTCGTCGCCTTCGATTTCGGCATTCTCGCGGCAGGGGACGGATGCGGCGGCGCCGGCGAGTTGCGGCCGGAGTTGCAGCTGTTCCCGCCGGGCTGTTCCCGGAATGCGGGTCGGGCTTCCGGGTCGGACGGAATGGATCTCTCCTTCCTGTGTCGGGCGGAGGTGCGGACGGAGGAGGAGGAGAAACAACAGCGGCTGCCACCGCCGGCTCAGCCGCAGCAGGTAGTGAAGAAGAGTAGGAGAGGGCCCAGGTCTCGGAGCTCACAGTACAGAGGAGTCACTTTCTATAGAAGAACTGGTAGATGGGAATCGCATATCTGGTAATTCTTACTCACTAAAGTCACCAAAATTTATTCACCATTCCAATTTATTATTTTCATCTATTTATTTTAATAAATAATTTGTTGAAATAATATAATTATATTTTTTGTTTTATGTAATATTTTATATAGTTTTGAATATAGAAATTTTATTTTAAAAGTATTATAAGAAATCACGCTGAATATACTGGATTATTTGTTCAAATTTGACTTTTTATAATGAAAATCTGGATTATTTGTTCAAATTTGACTTTTTATAATGAAAATTACTTTGACTACGGATAAAATAATTTTATGAGATTCATTTTATATAATATTTTTAAAACATTATTTTATCTAATTAATATACCACATAATTTTTTATTTAATTCGAGATCAAGTGTAAAAAATTGTTGACTGCAAAAATCAAAAGTCGATAAATACTCAGGAACGGAGCTAGTAGCATATATCCTCAACATAAGAGTTCCATGTTTTTATTTCCAAAGTAGAAGTTTGCACTGTGACATAATGACAATGTACAGTGGCATTCCATTATTAGCCTCTCCTATTTTGGGAATAAAAAACACGGAACCCCTATTCTTTTACTTTTTTCGTCTTTTACTCTTAATTTAAATCTATTCCCAAGTTTTATACTCCTTCCGTCCAACAATAAATTTTTCATTTTGAATAACGTACAAAATCCTACAGACTATCTTTTTAAAATTACTTTATTTTCAAATTGGTATATCATAAAGAAGTACAAAAATTTTATCAAGTGATTGATGAAAATATGCCAATAAACATAAGTTATCGATGAAGCGTAATAATAATTGGGAAATTTATTGATAGACGGAGGAAGTAACATAATTTAAATAAAATAAATTGAGATGAAGTAAATCATCCCTATTTCACTATTTGTGCTTGTTTTATTTGCGAAGTGGAGTAATTATTAATTCTTTATGAAAATGCGGTTGGTTGCAGGGACTGTGGGAAACAAGTGTACTTGGGTGAGAATAATGTTAATTTTCTCTTCTTCTTCTTCTTTTTTTTTTTTTTTTTTTACTTTTTTGGTTAATTCCAGTGCTCTTTTTGGCTCTTAGTAGTCAATTATTTTTCCAAGTGTTTTCTGTTTTTTAGTAAATTCATTTCATGGCCTTTGTTTTGGGTTTTTCCAGGCGGATTTGACACTTCTGATGCTGCTGCTAGGTAAGGACTGATTGATCTTTAATTTTATCAAAAAACTAATAAAAACGTACAAATAAACAAAAGTTCTTGTGACTGTTGAAAAAGTAAATGTGACAATCATTTTGGGACGGAGAAAGTATATTGTTGTGAAAAAAATAAAAATAAAATGCTCTCTATGTTGCAGAGCATATGATAGAGCAGCTATAAGGTTCCGTGGGGTTGAAGCTGATATAAACTTCAATTTAAGTGACTATGAGGAAGACATGAAACAGGTTAGAATATCAATTATTCATCTGGGAAGATAATAAGATAAATCTAGTTGTATCTCAAAGGTTGTACCCAAAATGTACACTAAAAATTTACACTTAAATTTTGTATCAACGTGAATCGAGATTGATGGCTTTACTGACACAAAATGCCATTGCGAAATTTTGGAATGCAAGTGTACATTTTGAAGTATTATCTTTAGGGTTACCTGGTGTAGTTGATGATAATACTACACTAAGGCACTGTTCTTTTGGGTTAGAATAATTAACTTCCAACTTCTTCCAGTTTCTTCCAACACCTATCAGTTCCTTCCAACTCCTTTCGTTTTCTTTCAATGACACTTTAAAAAGGTATTTATATATGATGAATATACAATAACATTGTACATAGTATATCCAAATTTAGAACATATCACTTCAAACACGTACAATGATGATTTTTTTATCCAAAATTAAAGTTTTTTTAGATATTGATTTGGGTGATCATTTAATTGAGTGATTCTTATAACATTTTCCAACTACCAGTTTTTTTTTCAAATCCATGCAGTTTCTTCCAACATCCAACTCTGAAATCCCAACCTAAAATAACAGAGCCTGATCAGGCCAGATATATCATGTCCCTAAAATGTTATCCCACTTTTCAGATGCTGTGACATAGCACAAAAATGTGGCTCCACTTCATTGTTGTTATATGTGCCAGTATCTGGAGGGTGGGAAATGAGGGTTAGATTATATTTTTGGGACAAGAGATTTGGTTTCCCTACTCCCAAGTTGGTTTGATATTGACTACGGGTAAGAGTTGGCTCTGTGATGTGTTTTTGTTGCAGATGGAGGGCCTCACTAAAGAAGAATTGGTACACATGTTGCGCCGGCAGAGTACCGGGTTCTCTAGGGGAAGCTCCAAATACAGAGGTGTGACATTGCATAAATGTGGGAGATGGGAGGCTCGGATGGGGCAGTTCCTTGGGAAAAAGTAAGTATCCCTATGAATCTTGTGAGTATTAAAGAGTGTCTTTAAGTCTTCTGTGTTATGAATTAAGCAAATCAGAAAGATTAAGGCTATTTTCAACCAAAAACAGTTCATTCATAACCAAACAGTGTGAAAGAAGTTGGTCTTTGTAGACAAAAGAATGGCCACAAGGCTGCTCATAAGTACAAAAAAACAAAACAAAAAGGAGCTTACCAAAAGGGCACTTGAAATATTGAGTGGAATAGTTGCATAAGTAGCATTTCAGACTAGTTGGGGTTGAGCTGGGTGACAAATTTCATAAGATTCATTCGTTCGGGTCAAGTATTCGTTCGTAGCTGGGTTTGAGATGGTTACATTGCAGGTATATTTATCTTGGGCTATTTGACACTGAAGTAGAAGCCGCAAGGTCCTAATTTTGATATTTATCATTACACACTGAATTATCAGCCTCAGCCGTGAATCACCTGATCAATGTGTACATTTTTTTCTTCGTTTTCAGGGCTTATGACAAGGCAGCTATCAAATGTAACGGAAGAGAAGCTGTTACTAACTTTGAGCCCAGCACATATGATGGAGGAACTTCCTTCGACTCCCATGATCTTGATCTGAACTTGGGGATTAAAAGCTCTTTTCCAAATCAAATTGTGAGTATGGGGTTTTCTTGTGCCATTTTCCTCTTACCTAAAGTCCAAGTAATGTTTCTTGATTCTCCTACATTGTGGAGTTTCTTGATGGAGATGTCTATAGTTTATTCAAAAACTGTTCTTTGAACATAACAAGTTTCTTTTAAACTGAAAACTAAGTGAATAAATGTGTGTGGGAAAATTCTCACATGTCCCATACATTCAAACTACAGATGGATAGATTTGGTGAAACAACATATGGGAGTTCACAGCTAAACCTGCCTCCAATTACATCGCAACAACCTCAATTGTCCAATGGTTTCTACTCGCGTTTCTTTCCTAATTACGAGGTAAGCTTTTGAAAAATATTCTCTTAGTTGCTGTTAAATATATCCCGAGCCTTCAATCGCAAGATTCTTTTGTCGACTTAGTTCCTTGACATGATACCAAAGCCTTATTGACCTAGAGATTATATTTTACTAGATCAACCAAAAACTTGGTTTTTCATAGAGTTGGTTCCTAACAATTGCCAATTAGCCTTTTTTTATAATTTGCTTGGTAAAAAGATTTGATTAAGCCTAGTGCCATAACAAACTTTAGACTAAACCCATTGGATCAAACACTTCAATGGCTCGGTGCAGGCGATAGCAAATGCGAAAAGAATGGCCATAGGCTCTCCATCACAAGGACCCTCCCCAACACGGATGCCGGAAACGATGTACTATGAGGTCGGGACAACAACAACAACAACAACAACAACATCAACCTCTGGGGCAATGTTTTCTAGTACAACAACAGCAGCAGCAGCATCATCAGGATTCTCAACTATGGCTACCCTTGATCCAGCATCGTCGGCGAATAATCTCAACTTTGCCTCTTCTCATCCCACTCCATCAACCAATGCTTCTCGCTACCGTTACCATACCGGGCCGCCGCTCTAATGATCTAATCTAACCTTCTATCTTGAATCATTTGTATAATTTAGATGTTGGTTTAATTTAATACACACCATCTGGATTGTGGATTATCTTGTCCACTCCATTTTGATCATATATATATAGCTCAGACTCTTTCTTTATTTTAAGCAGCATGGGGTAAATTATCAGTTTTGGAATTATAATCTCAAGAGGGTTTTCTACTGTACATACGTAGATACATTAATACCATTTAATCATTTTTCAATGGAGGTTGCATTTTAAATGCTTATCTCTCTCTTTATGTCAAGTATTTTGGTGAGAAGGAGTAAATTTAATAACAAATGTTACTTCCAATGTCTCACAAAAACTACACATTTCTTATTTGATTTTTTTGTCTCAAAATAAGGTATCAGTTTGAACTTTTACAAAGTAGTGTACTTTGTCGTTCATACTACCTTTGTTCTTTGTTCTGTTTTGATTTTTGCATTTAACATTGACAAACTTTGGTCATTATTTAAATAAAATTGAGATTAGATGCTGATACAGTATTTATTTATTTAGATTTATATATTATTAATTTTTTTCAAAATACTATTTTATCTAACTAATATATTATATAATTTTTATTCAATTATAAATCAACAATTGAGTTTAGCTAACTGCAAAAGGTTAAACTAGCACAAACATTATATTGCCACACTATAATTTTTTGTATTTTGTCTTCATTTCTCTTTCTCCACTCATTTGCTTTGCACATCTCTTCAACGCAATATAATACGGAGTATTCAACGCCTGTCCGCGATATAGTTCAGTTGGTCAAAAGGGTAATGTCACACGCGATAAATTTCAATTCAACTTTTTACAATGGCAATAAAAAATAGACATGTTATGCATGGATTCCTGCACGTATCAGTTACAAATTTCAGACACTTGCGGTCAATCTAAAATTATAACTTAATTTAACTTAGAGATAATAAGAAAGACTGCACAGGTCGGATTGGATTAGCCTTTTAGCTAAAAAAAAGATCGATACTATTTAGGACGGGATCGATCCGGTCCTTTTTCTTAACTTGTTTCGGATTAGTTTGGTCTTTGTTAAAAAATAGAGGCTTTTTTGGGACTGGGCAGTCCGGCCAGGACCTGTCTTGTTTTTAGGAAGAAAGACCAAAGTATGACTATAACATTGAAAATATACCAAAATAGGACTTCCATATTTTTATTCCCGAAATAGGACTTACATTACCAAACATGGTCATATGCATTACCAAAAAAGTATAGTAATGTGTACATGTACACTGCCACATTACCACAATGCAAAGTTATATTACCACAGTGCAAAGTCCTATTTCGGGGAAAAAAACATAGAAGTCATATTTTGGTATTTTTCTATATGTTTTAGTCCTTTTTAGGATGATTTCTATTGTTTTTATTTTATATGATTTTTTAAATGTTACCTATTAGCTTTTTAAAAAACTAAAAAAATACCATTACTTCTTTTTAATTTAATTTCCTCAATTACTACACTTTGTTAATTTTTTAGAAGTTATTTATGCAACATAAATGTTTTTTTCTTCAAAAATAGATATTAAATATAACAAATAAAAAAATATTTTTTTGAGTACAAACTTGTACATTTGAATTTGTTATGACATATTCTAAATTTATAAAAAGAATATGAATTATTAAGTTGTATATTAATAAGATAAATGTATTTCTATGAAAATAATATGTTGAAAAAAAAGATATATTAATACAAAAATTATATTTTAATGTTATATTATGAGACTAGCTATACTCTGTTCCCGGTTAAGTCTATTCACAGAATAGCACCGGTCCGGGACCGATATTGTCCTCCCCCCTATTTGGAAGACCAAGTTCGACTATCGGTTCGAGACCGGATCGATTCCAAGTGCACTTTGGTCTCAATCTTTTTCATTCCGATCTCGATCTATTTCGATTGATCTTTTCGATCCCAATTTCTTTGTTCTCTAATTTAACTTCTCTCAAATTACAGTCTAAATCAGTACGAGAGGGTCCTGTTCATTTATTTATTTTTTAAATAATGGCGATCTGCCAAATTAAAGTCAGATGCGGAATGTGCAAATTTGTGTGTCTGCACCATCCGTTAGCAGTAAAAGCTACTCCGTGTAAAGCGATATGGTAACTTTTTGGGGGCAACATTAACATTTTGTACTGTTGTTCTGGCAACTGCACAGTGAACCTAAAGGTACACTACAATGTCCCATAATTTTGACCCAGCAAAGTGAGTACTGTACTATCTTTGTTTTTATTCTACTCCCTGTTCTAAAAAAACCCCAATCCCCAAATATCCTCTCACACTCAGTCGAATGGTCACTGAAAGGAGTTAAATTAGACTTTGATTGCATATAAGTGGTAAAGACTTGAGTCTATACCCAGTATTTACTATTTACAGAAGCTTGATAAAATTTGAGATGGGGTATAAACTTCTAGATTGGGCAATAAGACACTTGAATTGAACCGCATTAAAAAATTGAATCCAATCGATTAATTAGTTCATCTCAAGAGCTTATATACCAATTATCTTCCTCACACTTTTTCGATGTGGGATACTCTTAACACTCCCCCTCAAGTGGACAACCGGGCCATTTTGAATCTAACCGGTTGACCACTTGCAAATGGACTCTCATCCCCTTGATTTTTTTTGAGCGCCAACACCTTAAGGTTCACGAGCCGCTGGGTATGGACTTCCAGACGTGCAATCGGGTTAAACGGGCCACAGGCCGTTGGGTACATACTCCATACGGACAACTGGGCTAAAGACTAACGGGCCGCTAGGAATGAACGTCTAGACGGACACCATGACAAACGAGGTGGGCCAAAACCTGCTTTGATACCATGATAAAATTTGAGATGGGGTATAAACTTCTAGATTGGGCAATAAGACACTTGAATTGAACCGCATTAAAAGATTGAATCCAATCGATTAGTTAGTTCATCTCAAGAGCTTATATACCAATTATCTTCCTCACTTTTTCGATGTGGGATACTCTTAACAAAGCTCAATACTTAGCATAGTTATCTCTCAGCACATTCGCTAGGAATCAAACTGGTCTTACCCGATTAACACTCCTTGTTTTTGCTAATTGCGCGCCCACCGGCTCATGTTCTCATTTAGATTTCGAATTGGGAGTCACGTTCTCTTCAACTTATTCTTAATACTTACTTTCTCTGTCTGGAAATATTTCTCATTTGACTTTCCTTGTCAAAGTTTGTAAATTTTGACTCCGATATATAAAAAAAAATACATTGTATTATGACATAAATTTATTATCAATCTATTCCTATTGAAACATAGTTTTCAAATATCAAAATTTTATAAAATATATTTATGTATAAATAAAAATATTAATGGTCAAAGTGAAACATTGGAAACCGTAAAAAGTCAAATGGGAAGAATATTTCTCGACGGAAGGAGTATTATTTTTTCTTATTTGAATCAAATCAGAAATGATTTTAAATATAGTTACATTCATATTAGATCAGAACAAAACTTATTCTAATCAGATCAGAACCATTTGAATCTGGTGAAGAAAGCATGACCAAAATTTCATACTCCATCCATCTCGAAATAATTTAATCCATGCATCCCTATTTTAATTGCAAGTTGCAGAAAATGAATAAAAAATTTAAGTTTTTTCAGATCATTTTATTTAGAGATTGAGACATAATCAAAAGATAAACTTACTTATTTAAAAACTACATTAAAAATTTTATAAAACAAGAGGTGACGAATATTTTATTTGATCAAATAATTAATGGAAATGCATAAGCAAACAAAAGTTATCGTGATTTTGGAATAGTAAATATTACAGTCAAATTTGAGACGAAGGGAGTACACTTTACGTAAAAAAACGAAACTTTTAGTTTTTAAATCATTTTATTTAAAGATTGGTAAAAATAAAGCTTACATATCTAAAAATTAAGTCAAAAGTTCTATAAAATAAGATGTGACAAGAATAACTTTATTTTTTAAAGTAATCCATAATGAAAACACAAAAATAAATAAAAATTTCCGTGATTTTTGAAGAGGGAAGAATGTAATTCTTTTTGGGACGAAGGGGGTAATTTTTTGTCATATTAATTAAAAATAGGATATAAATAAAAAACAAAAATTACATGTTACAAAACTAAGTCAAGAATATTTTATTTATCAAATGATACAACACAAGAGAGAGTTACACTCTAAAAGCTAGTCATTAAAGTGGGAGAATTCTTGGCTATATAAACCTTTACCAATCTCCCATTTGACCGATGTGGAATTGCTTTTTAGCTCGTATCGTTCGACCCCCCATAAGCCCAACGACCTCTTGGCCACACTGGCTTGACCAGGCGACCACTCCATAACTGAAGAGTCCCAGTTTACTCTAATATCACTAATACAACTAGAGCTGGATACAGTCTCGGTACAGAATCGGTACCAGCGGTTCTGCCACCGGGACCGACGACGAAGACGAGAAGGCATTGCTAGAAGCGCATACAGGAACCGACCGACATGGTACCGGGTCCGGTTCTAATTTTTTGTGACCGGAAAGGCGGTACTAGTTCCGATAAAATTTGAATTTTCTTTTTGCTTCCTGAAAATATAACATGGGTGGGCCCGTGGGGAGCCTCCAATGGCTCTATAGCCGTTTGGAGCCTTGGAGGAAGGGGTGGGGGTTTGGAGGTGTGGTATTTTTTACCTATAAATACCCCTCTAATATTTCTTAATTCACTCATTAACCTCTCTCTCATAAGTGAATAACTTTTTTTTATTGTATTGCAATTAGTTTTTTATGTGAGCGATATATAGGCTCCTTCGATGGTTTCTTTACAGTTCTTTACTTCTTTACCTCGTCGTTTTTTTTTTTTGAACCGTCATGATATTTAAATGTAGTTGTTTTTGTACTATTCATTTTTCAATATTTAAATAACAACTACATTTTTAGATATTCTAAATAAAAATTAAAAAGTTATACTTTTTTTTCTTTTATGCATACACATTTATAAATTCCCATAAAAAATTATTTAAAAAAAGGCGGAGCAAGACCGGCCGGTACGGTACCAGAATCGCTGGTACGAGTACCGGTGCCGGTACCGTTAGCGCCAGTACTGGTAACGGTGCAAAGGGGTGGCGGTACCGGAACTGCTTAAGAGAATGCTTATTTACCCAGATTAAATTTTTTGAATCAAATTAGATATTTTTTTATA